AGAAAAAAATCTTGAACGACAATAACAAATAACGACAATGACGACAATAAAGATTGAAGGACGTAAAGGCTCGGATGATAAGCAGCTGTTGGTTGTGGCACGAAACTAACTCAACAAAGAGAAAAATTTCTTTTCTTTTTTTCAACCTTTCTTATCGCTTTTCAATCCTTTTTTTTTTTCATCCACAAAAATCCTTTTTTGACTCAAAATTCAATCAAATTTATCAAAGTTTTATCATTTTTTTGGTGTATCACACTTGCCTGCAAAGAAGAATTTTTTATTCAAATTCTTGCTTTGCTGATTTTTCACTTTTTCACCTTTTTTGGCATCAAAAAAAGTTTTTTTTCTTTTGTTATCTTTTTTTATTCTTTATTTTTGCACAAGAGCCTTTTTTTGTCTTCTTTCTGTTTTGTTAAGTTCCTTGTGAGGATTTTGGTGGAATTTTAACTTTTTTTGAAAAATTTGTTAAAAACTAAAATTTTCTTCAAATTAGTAAAATAAGTTTGAATTTAAAATAAATCTTAAAAAATTTGAATTTTAAAAAATCATTAGAATTTTGAATTAAAAGACTTTAAAAAAATGTAAAAAAAAACTCTTAAAATCTGACAAATTTCTCCCCCCTCCCCCCTCTTTTCACACTTAAACCCTCCTTTAGCAAATCTTCCCACCAATTCTTTTTTCTCCTTTTTTCCAGAATCTTTTATTCGTCATGTTGCGATAAGGCAAAGAAAAATTTCAATTTTAAATTTGATTATCGGCAGAGCAACAAATATGAAATGATGGAAGATGAAGACGATGTGAAAAGTTTTTTTTGTATTCAATTTTTTATCTCAACAACACAAAAAAAGAAAAAAGAAAGGAAAAAAGAAGGATTTACAAAAAGCAAAGATTTGCACTTCAATCACTTTAGTTGATGGTGGGAAGATGATAAAGAGATTGTTGGATGGATGGGGGGGGGGGGGGGGGAGGGGGTGGGGGGGGGGGGGGGGGGGGGGTAGCGATTGACTTGAGAGGAGTTTTTTAAAATTCAATTTTAGATTAGTAATGTGACAATTGACTTTAATGTTGACAAATTTATTCAATTAAATTTCAAAATATTTTCAAATATTTTATTTTTAATTTCAAACTTTTTAAAACGTTTCAGAATTTTAAAAAAATTCAAATAATTTTTTTCAATTTATTTTTCCATCAAAACTCCCACAAAATCCACAAATAAACACAAACAAATTTTTTTTGTTATTTACTTTTTCAATTTTTTTTGTCAAACAATTTCTCAATTTATTTTCATTTAAATATATTTTTTTGCAAATCAACAACAAAATTTCAAATCCACGAAACTTTATCCACGTCTTATCGACTTAGAATCCCGCAGCAAACTGCGATGAATGTTGAGTGATAAACAAATGAGATCGAAAATGTTTTTTCATTGTTGCTATTTTGCTTTTTTGGATGTTTTGTATTTTTACGTACGTAAAATGTGCACCGGTTGTGGAAGTTTTTCTCTCAAATTTTTATTATAATTCTCTTAAACGATTTGTTATTGTTTGTAAAAACATCAGAGAGAAAATGAAGAATTCTGAACGAAGAGAATGAATGAAATCAGCTGACTTTATATTTTTGTTTGTGAAATTGTTGCAATTTATTTAAATAAAATTAAACAAATTTTAAGATTCCCAAAAATTTTAAAAATTGAAATAAAGCTTATTAAATTCATAAAAATATTAATTAAGTTGAAAAATCAAAAAATGTTAACAAATTTAAACAAAATTCAAAGATTTCAAAAAAAATTTAGGCAGTTCAAAAATTTTAAAAAAATGTCATAAAATTCTAAAAATTTAAAAAACTTTAAAAAATCCAAAATTTAAAAATCAAATATTCAAAAAAGACAAAAAATTCACATAACGCTAAAATATTAAAAATCAGAGATCGAAGCCGATTTTTTCGGCTTAACTCAATTTTTGATTTTTTTGATAGAAAAAAGCTATTTGACACCCATTTCAAGTATTTAAATTGAACTTTACATGCTTTACTATGATTCTGTGTAATATTTTGTCAGCATGTAGCTATAGTAAGCTCAGAATTTCAAGTTAGCCGATTTTAAGCCGATCGGCTTAAATTTCGGCTTAAAATCGACTAAATTGAAATTCTGAGCTCACTATAGCTACATGCTGACAAAATATTACACAGAATCATAGTAAAGCATGTAAAGTTCAATTTAAATACTTGAAATGGGTGTCAAATGGCTTTTTTCTATCAAAAAAATCAAAAATTGAGTTAAGCCGAAAAAATCGGCTTCGATCTCTGCTTTAAACTAAATCTTGCTGAGCAAACGTTAGACCAGGGTTGTGATGCAGGCACCTGTGAACAGGTGAGAACCGTTCAATTGTTTGATACTTTATAAGGTTTCTCGAGAGGTCCATTTATCGCAACCTTGGCGTGGACTTTTGATGGTCCTTGGAGAATATATAAGTTTCTACTCAAAACACTAGTTTGCAAATCAATTTTACTGTTAAAGAAGTTCAAAATATATTGAAAAATAAAAAAAAACCTCAAAACAAAAATTCAATTTGACATTAAACTTGAAGTCCTCAACAAACATCATTAAACATGCCTTAAAGGGGTGCAAAAAGCAATAGAAAAGGTAAGAAAATTGAACAAAAAAATGGAAAAAAAACAAAATATTCCATTTTCCATCAATCACTCCACAAATCATCTTCAACTCTTTTCCTTATTTTCCTTGCTTTTATTTACTTACGTAAGCAGGTAAGCATCAAATAGAACCAAGGAAGATTTGCTTTTAGGGGGTTCAAAATGGTTTTGTGGATGATCTGATGAGGAAGTAATATTTCTAGGAGTCCAGCAAGTTAGGAACGTTCAACCCGTCGACTTTCCTTTGGTTTTCATAGCTATGCTTCGAAACTTTTGAAAAAAGTCGGGGAGGGAGGTTGACAAAATAGCAAAAAAGACTTAATCAAGCAAAAAAATATTAATCGATAAAAAGGATGTTGAGAAGTAAAATTGAGAAATTTAATTGCAAAAACCCGAATTAAACCTTGTAAATTTCCAAAAAACTTTTAAAAAAATTAAAAAATGCGCTTTATTCCAGACACAATATGACTTTCTTACTTGCCATTTACACATTCTCTCAATTGCAATTTTTTCTTTTTTCCTTCCAGCAATTTTGCAATTAAGCTTTGAAGAACATTTTTTCGTGCTTGCAATTTTACTTCCTTTAACTTAGTTTTCCTTCATTTTCCGCAGACTTGGTTGGTGAAAAACGTGATGCTGAGAAAATTAAGGTTCTATTACATAATTAACTGCTCGTAGCGAATTTCCACATTTTGATTCATTAGCAAAATTATCAAAATCTGAGAATTCCAGTGCAGCGACAAACAAAATTGATAAAAATAAAGTAACCTTTGTTTAAAAACGCATCAAAAAATAAAGCAAATTTTCCACATCATCGTTGCCAGACATCAACAGGAACAAAAGAATTTTCTTTTTTTTTGTTCCCCGCTGAACAGATTAAAAAGCATTTTTTTGTGCCGCTTTTAATTGAATTTTCATGTTCATTAAACCATTTTATTGTGCTGTGCATCCTTTAATCATCTCCTTTTTTTGGGATGCTGAGTCGAGACAAAAACAAAATAAATCCACGATTTAAATTAAAAAGTGAATGTGAAAAATGTTAAAAACGTGAAAAAAAATTCTTTTTTTAACGCAGCAGATTTTCATTTTTTTTGTTGTAATTTTTAACATTTGAACAGATTTGTGACTGGGAGGGGGAGGGGGGGGGAAGAAATTGGATAAAAAAGCATTGACAATTTTTTTTATTTTTTTTTATTCAATATTTTGTTTATCTAAAATGTTCAACCATTATTGTGCATATAATACTCATATATGATGACTCTCGAACAGTCCTTTGTGATGATTTTGTCAGAATCTTTTTTAAACAGTAAAACATGGTCCAGCATGGTTGTTGGAATTATTTAATACCTCCTGTCCCACTTCCTACACAAGTTCGAATGAAATCGAAATTCTGATGACTTATTTTGGATTTTTTAACCTCAAAAATTATTTTTTTAAACGAGTTTCAATCAAATTCTAACAAAATCATCACAAAGTGAGTCAATATTGTATTAATTAATTGTTATTATTATTATTATTTTGCATATTTTGTGTATAACTTTTTATAATATTGTTGTTAATAATGTCCAATAAAACTGCCTAGAGTGGAGATATATTAATCAGACTATGCGTACCCGGGCTGTGTAGGTCATCAACTGATAATATCGAACCGAATTCAAAAGAAAATTTCAAAGTAAAATTTTAACTTTTGTTTTGAAAAAATATTCAAATGATTTTCAAAATACAAATTTTAACGGCTATTCAAAGTTCAAATTTTAACGATTTTTAAATTCAAATTTTAACGGTTTTTAAAATCCAAATTTAAACGGTTATTCTAAATTCAAATTTAAACGGTTTTAAAATTAAAATTTTAACGGCTATTCAAAATTCAAATTTTAAGGATTTTTAAATTCAAATTATAATGGTTTTTTAAAATTCAAATTTTAACGGCTATTCAAAACTCAAATTTTAAGGATTTTTAAATTCAAATTTGAACGGTTTTTTAAATTCAAATTTAAACGGTTTTTTAAAATTCAAATTTTAACGGCTATTCAAAATTCAAATTTTAAGGATTTTTAAATTCAAATTTGAAAGGTTTTTTAAATTCAACTAAAGCGGTTTTTTTATATTCAAATTTTAACGGCTGTTCAAAATTCAAATTTTAACGATTTTTAAATTCAAATTTTAACGGTTTTTAAAATCCAAATTTAAACGGTTATTCAAAATTCAAATTTAAACGGTTTTCAAAATTCAAATTTTAACGGTTATTCAAAAGTTAAATTTGAACAATTTTTAAATTCAAATTTTATCGGTATTTTAAAATTCAAATTTTAACGGCTATTTAAAATTTAAATTTGAACAATTTTTGACACCTACACAACCCAAGTATATTAATTATAGAATGTTTATGAACTATTTAAATATTATTGATAAATACGGAGTCAGAAATATCATAATTTAGATAAATAATAAAAATTGTATTTTTGTTGTCAATTGTTTACTCTATTATAATTAATTTCCTATTTTGTTTGATAATCACACAATTTTTAATAAATGCTGTATATGCGCCTATATAAAGCCTGTCAAAAACTTTTATTTATCCTAAATGATCCTGAACAAATGTCTCGAGTGTCTTTGGTATTAAATTTTTGTAAGGAATACGAAATTTGCAGATGGCTGTTGCTGCTAAGCATTTTAAGGTGAGATAATTTATGATCGGAATATTGTTTGATGGATTTGATATGATTAGATTTAGTGGACGATCTCCGGTCTTGTTGGGGTAGTCGAGCTCGGCTCCGGAGTTGAGGAGAGTCTCGATCAGCTGTGAATGAGAAAATTTTGGAATTAAAAACTAATTTTGAGGTTATGTTTAGTTTTTGAGGCTAAACCAAGGGTTCCAAACTGAAGTCATGGATTTTGAACCTTACTCAGAGGTTTTGAACCTAAGTCAGGGATTTTAAATCTTAGTCAGGGATTTTGAACCTTACTCAGGGGTTTTGAACCTAAGTCAAGGGTTTTGAACCTTACTCAGGGGTTTTGAACCTAATTCAGGGATTTTGAATCTTAGTCAGGGATTTTGAATCTTACTCAGGGGTTTTGAACCTTAGTCAGGGATTTTGTACCTTAGTCAGGGTTTCAGAATTTTAGTCAGGGGTTTTGAATCTTAGTCAGGTTTTCAGAACCTTACTCAGGGGTTTTGAACCTAAGTCAGGGGTTTTGAACCTGAGTCAGGGGTTTTGAACCTAAGTCAGGAGTTTTGAACCTGAGTCAGGGGGTTTGAACCTTAGTCAAGGGGTTTTGAACCTTAGTCAGGGGGTTTTGAACCTTAGTCAGGGTTTCAGAACCTTAGTCAGAGGGTTTGAACCTTAGTCAGGGGCTTTGAACCTAAGTCTGGGGTTTTGAACCTAAGTCAGGGGTTTTGAACCTTACTCAGGGGTTTTGAACCTTAGTCAGTGGTTTTGAACCTTAGTCAAGGAGTTTTGAAGTCTAGTCAGAGGTTTTGAACCTAAGTCAGGGGTTTTGAACCTTAGTCAGGGTTTTGAACCTTAGTCAGGGTTTCAGAACCTTAGTCAGGGGGTTTGAACCTTAGTCAGGGGGTTTGAACCTTAGTCAGGGGGTTTGAACCTAAGTCAGGGGTTTTGAACCTAAGTCAGGAGTTTTGAAGTCTGGTCAGAGGTTTAAACTTTAAAAAACACTAATTTGTACTAACCTCAAAGTTATAATTGTAAGGATTTGACGCAATAAACAGCGGAGTTGACCGACAATCATTCCTAGCATTCACAGGCGATCCACACTGCAAGAGCATCTTCACAACCCTCAAATTAGGAAACACAGACTTAGCTGTAATGTTATGATCTGCAAAATATCCATGTTTGACATAATTCAGCCTTGATACACACATATGAAGCAATGTGTCATGATTTGATGTTGTCACATTATTCCTAACGATCCTAAAGACACCAGCATAAACAAGATCAAGCTTCTCTTCACAATTATTAGCTGTATCAAGCATTAAGTAGATCAGATGAGTGACACATTTAAGAACCTTGTCAAAATTATCCTGTTGCTTCTTATAAATCGGACGAATGGCTAGCAGTTGCTTCATCTCAACAATCTCGGTAGTCAAGAGCTGAAAAACTTTGTGAATCTCCTCAAAATTTGGCATGTCATGTGGCTGAAGTGCCGCACCCTCAAAATGAATCAAATCGATGTCTTTAAGGTTCAAGTTCAGCATAAGTCTGATAATTGCTTGAGCTACAAAAACAGTATCGGAATGAAGAATTGTATTGCGTTCAACGCGGATTTCCAGCGACAGAATCCAAAGTTTCAGGCAGCTATCATATCGCATTGAGTCAGCAAAGAATGCACCACGGTAAAGAAGTCGGAATAAGAAATCTCGATGATGTGTACCAAGAATCCGCTCACTTATCACAAGAGCTGTCATCCTCATATCATCCAAGTCCATCTCGATGTTATTAAGCTCTTCATGGTTCGAAAATTCACGAATTCCACCAAATGCAGACCGAACCGGCAAAATATCCTTTGGAATATTTTCACGAGTTCGGATGTCGATCGATTGACGCCAATAAGTAATTGCATGATTCTCATTATTATGGTTGTGCAGTTGATGATCATCAGATATGACTGTTGTTCCTATCAGCTCGTAAGCATTCGCAAGTCGCTCTGGCGTGAAATAAATCCGCGATTTTAAATACTCGAAAATTTCATGAGCACCTTTGAGACATGCTGTTTGCAAGGCATCATCACCATAGCGGGATTTTGAGAACACATTGGCACCATGCTCGATGAGAAGCTTTGTTGTCTCGAGTCGGTACTCTTGGATGGCATAGTGAAGTGCTGTCTTGTTCTGGATGTCTCTGTGGATTTAATAAAATTTTTGTTAATATTGTTGCTAGGTTTGTGGAGTTTTGTAGTGCAGGTGCGTAGCCAGGAGGGTATTGTTCCCCTCTTAAGCGTTTTAGGCCGTGCTCTAGTTGCGGTTCAAAACCTTTGAGGGGGTAGGGGGTGGGGGGGGGACCCTCCAGGCTATGCGCCTGTTGTGATGATTGATGCCACTTGATAAATGATTAGTGATGAAAAAGGCTCTTCTTAGGTCGGTGTCAGGAGATATTGAGGTCCTTCTTCTGCATAAAAGTTCTGACTACGACACTGACACCCTTTGACCGCTTTATTTGTGAACCAAGAATATTTTTTGCCTGAATTTGGTTTCAAAACGATAAAAACCTTTTTAAATGGCACAAAACTTAAGTTATGTCACTGCAACTCCTCTGATTGCCCCAAAAATGTCGCAAATAATATAAAATTCTATGAATAATCCAACCTATAAACCAAAATTCAACAGCTTTACGCACGACATTCCCTCAAATAGTATCAATAGTGAAGAATATTAAATGAATTCAAAAATAAAACCTAAACTTTCACATGAAAATGGTAATTATCGATATTAGGAATTCCAGTTAAATGACTATTTCAATGTTAAAGCATTCATGATTGCTTAGTTAAGTGCTTTTTAATGAGACACGAGTTAACAAACTTTAAACTTGTCTAAATTTAGATTTTTTTAAAAGAATTTCTTGTTCGGAGTTGTTACTAAGGTCGACGGTTGCCATAAGCAGAGGCAGTTATCATTATCAAAGCTTCCTAGTTGAACTGACCACATTAATTGCACGTACATAAATGATTTGGTTGCAATGGGCAAGTTTCTAAGTCTACCTGAGGCAACTAGGAAGGTCTTGTTTCCCCCTTAAGCATGTTGAGTCATTCTCTCACTGCAAACGACTCAAAAAGCATAGGAAGAGAGTGGGGGGGGGGGGGTCAGCTGCCGAAGCTACCAAAAAAACTATGACTAGTTAAGTCAACTTAATCCCAGTAATATTTTATTTGATATCCCTTAGAGTTCAAGAAACCAGCCACAGGAAGTATCAGCTAAAGATATATGACCATCTCTTCAAAGTTCTAAACTACACAGCATCTCCTAGGCTAGCAAAACCTAGCATAAATTTGAATAAACCTTCACTTCATAAAGCTGTATGAAGCTGTATATTAACCAAGGTCAGTTAACATAGATTCAGATTAAAATAATATAAAAAATCATTTTTTGCTATTAGGATGAGGAATGTCAAGGTCATCTAGGCAGTTCTAATTGCTACTTTAATGTTCTTAATCAAGTGATTAAATGAAAAAAAATGATAAGGCACTCAACAGAGCATGCAACTATTGAATGATACTAAAATGATTAACTCAGTCTAGTCAAAAGTGTGCTAATGGTAGGGTTACCATCTAATTTTCATGAAAATACAGGACTTTTGGTAAATTTTTTCGAAAAATACAGGACATAGAGTAAAATTCGAAAATTAACGGAAATTTTCGTGAAAAAAATACAGGACCTGGAACAAAGTTTTCAAATTTATACAGGACAGGGTTTTGAAATACAGGACTGTCCGTTGTAAAACTACGCAGATGGTCACCCTAGCTAATGGTCACTGAAATTAAAGTTGCAGCCAAAACAAGAAACTTAATCACATTTTGCAGTCAAAACAAAGTAATTGGCAGACATAAACAACTTTGGGGTCAACCGTAAGTGACGACTATTGCTATATAAACGACTGCAAACATGAATTTATAAAGAAAATTCATCTTAATTAGCTAAAGGACCATTTTTTGATCATCTACCAGACCAACCCTCACCGATTCCTTATTTTTCATAACTTTCAAGCCTCAGTCACGAGAATCAATCACTAAAAGTCACAAACCACCTTAAGATCCCCCTCATGGTAATTTTTCAGATAATGACATCATTTATCAACAACCCCCACATTGACCCCATCATCACAGCTTAACAACAATCATCACAAACTAGTCTAAAATTGCAACAGTTGATTAATATTATTTACAAACCTGGCATTAACATCAGCACCCTTAGCGATAAGATACTTGCACAGCTCAATACTTTGAACGGAATTAATCAAGCACGTTCCGCCATTAAAGTTGGGCAGCTTAAAATTAGCACCGGATTCGACCAGAAATTGTACAACATCAATATTGGTCATAAAGCAGGCACTCCTCACGGCTGTTGAGCCTGAATCACTTATGGCATTAATATTTGCACCGAGTCGCACGAGAAGCTTCACAACTGGCAAATGATTAGCCACAGCTGCAGCCCACAATGGCGTTGAGTAATGGAACGTCTTCTCTTCCTCGACTTCGTAAAGATTTTTCTGTTCCAGATCAGCATTGCAGGTTGTGACTAAGTACTCGACAGCCATTGAGTTTCCATTAAGTGCTGATGAGAATAGTGGACAGATCCCGTCCCGCTCACGTTTCATTAACTCACGTCTGGCATCGCGTGGGTAGCTACAAAAAAATTCATTCAATTGTTATTTTTAGCTTTAAGGCTTTGAATTAATGATGAACTGACCTTTCAATTAGTTTACGTAGATTTGAGTTTGGAAAGTTGTATTTGTTGTTGCGAATCTCATGGTAAAGATGATTGAGGAGCTCGGTTTCCTGTGACAAAAGCGGTACACATCCTGTGCTGTTGGAATATGGGTTCATTGAGTGTCTAAGTGACCGAATTTTTAGGCTGTTTTTGGCTCCGTGATAATTTTTATGTTGAATGAGAAAAAATTTTTTTGTTTGACTTTTTTTTTATTTTTGTCAACAAAACTTGGAGTTTGAATTTTTTGTGGCCGTTATGGGAGATTTTTAGAATTTTTTTGATGGGAATTTTTATTATTTTAGGTTTACTTTGGATGAGGATTGAAGTTGGATTGTGAAATGTTTGGGTTAATATTGTGGAATTTAAGATTTTTAGGTAAATTGGAAAATTAAGAATTTTGTTAACTTTTTTGGTACTGAACGGAAATTATTTGAATTTTTAAAAACCGTTACGATTGTTTTAATGATGAACTTAACTGGAGGACTTCAGCTAGGCATTGGTTTTTGAGATGCTTCGTATGAGCCATAAAGAAGACCCTCAGCTGAACACCCCCCCCCCCTCCCCTTCCCCCACTCCCACCCCACATTTCAATTAAGAATGTCAAAATCTGTGTATAGAAACGGTCATGAATTGATAGTCACGACGAATCTAGCTTCAAATGAAATTTTAACGAAAAACTTTCAATTTCTTTAAGCTTTACTTGCAATACAGTTGAACAATTTTTAATTAAAACTAAAGTTTGAAGCAACACTTTCAGTCATTTTCAAGGAATCGTTTGAATACGTTGGAGTTGCTTTATTGAAAACAAAAAATGATTTTTAAAATTTTGTGAAAATATTAAAAAGCTTAAAAAATATTTAAAAAAAATTATGACACATTAAAAATTTGAAATTGACCAAAGATTTTAAATCTTTAAAAATCTCAAATTAAAAATTTTTTAACCTCAAAAAATTCAAAAATGTCAAAAATAACAACAATAATCTTCGCAATCATAATCCTCATCATAATTCCAACAACCCTAGCAGCCTACAATTCAACAACAGAAGTCAAAGGCTTCAGAATCGGCGAATGCAAAGCGTGGACTCAGTTCCGCAAAAAATTCAACAAAACTTACTCATCTGTTCGCGAAGCAAAGCGTCGGAAAATGATTTTCATTAAAAATTATCGGCTTGTCACGAACCACAACAAGCACTACGACTTGAACCTTGAAAGTTTTTTGTGCTCTATAAATCGATTTTCTGACTTGACAAAAGAGGAATTTCAGCAAAAATATACAGGATTTCAACCGCCAACCGACTACAATGTCACACACGAGCAAGGTTTTGGAATTAAAGCTGTTGGAACTGGAATTGTTGTTGGGAATCATAAAAAAATTATTCAAGAAGCAAAAGTGTTGAAATCAATCGATTGGAGGAGAACAGCTGTGACTGGAGTTAAGAAGCAAGGTGAATGTGGCAGTTGTTGGACATTCTCAGCTGCTGGGGCACTTGAGGGACAAATTTTCATTAAAGCAAGGAAGTTGTATGAAGTTTCTGCTCAGTACTTCTTGGATTGTGTGAAGACAAACATGTGAGTATCGAGTTTGAGGTTAAATTTGGTCAGAATCTGTCAAAAGTCTGAAAATTCGGTGAAAATCTGACATAAAGTGACAAATCTGGCAAAAATTTGGCATGACTGGACCGAACAGATTAGATTTTGGCAGTTTTGGTTAAATTCGATCGAAATCTGGAACTATCAAACATATCCGGTCAAAACTTGTCAGAAAATTTAAAGGTCTAGTTATAGTCTGGCATCATTGAACAAATTCGATCAGAATCTATCATAAAACTTCAAAATTCGGTCAGAATCTGTCAGAAAAGTTAAATTTCGGTCAGAATCTGGCCAGAGTTTGGTATTATTCGACAAGTTCGGTCAGAATCTGGCATTGTTGTGCAAGTCCGGTCAAAACCTAACATTATTGCATAAATCCGGTTGAAATCTGGCATTGTTAAACAAATTCGGTCAGAATCTGGACAAATCCGTTCAGTGTTTGTCAGAAACTTAAAAATTCGCTCAGAATCTGTCATTATTGAACATATTCGATTAAAATATAGCATTCATAAATAAATCCGGTGGAAATCTGCCAGAAACTTTAAAAACCCGGTCAAAATCTGGCCAAAATGAGCCTAAATGTTAAATCGGTCCAAATGTTAACCAAATTTAATTCACAACCTCATTTCTAACCTCCCAACAGTACCGATGGCTGCACTGGAGGTCTCATGACAGATGTCTACAAATTTTCTATGACCAACGGCATTGTGGAAGAAGCCAGACATCCATACACAGACGGACAATCTCCAGATGGATGTACAATTAAAGATTTAACAATCCCAATCAAAGTCACTGGATACATTGAACTCAAAAAAGTTTCTGAAGATGAATTACTTCGTGCTGTGTCTACAATTGGACCAATTAGCATAGCTATTGATGCTCGATGGCAGTCGCTCCAGTTTTATGAGACTGGGGTGTATTTTGAGCCACTTTGTGATCCAAATGAGTTAAATCATGCTGTGTTGGGTGAGATATGGGGTTAGGGGTGTTTGTGAGTGATGTTTGGGGTCTGTAAAGTGCTGTAGACACTAATTTGACTCACAAAATTCACTTTTGAATGCTACATGCTTGTTAAAATCCCCAATAATTAATTCAATTGTAATTTTAGTTGTCGGATATGGAACAGATGAAGATTTTGGCGATTATTGGACTGTGAAGAACTCTTGGGGCAGTGGATGGGGTGAATATGGGTAAGAAGACTTCCAGATTGAGGTTAGTGCTGATAAAGTTGCTATTTTCTGTCCTTTTAGATACATTAGGATGGCAAGAAACAAGTCAAATCACTGTGGAGTGGCGACAATGCCGAGTTATCCTGTAGTCAGCGTGAGATTCTAGATAATCGCTTGTTAATGTTGTAGGCTGCAAACTGAGTTTTCATAAAATTGTTGAAAAATAATTTAAAAATGCAGAAATTTTAAATTTTTTAGGGTGCAATAAAAAATTTTCTTTATTTTTGATGAAAAAATTTATAAATATTTCTATGGAATTTTTGAGCCTAGATTTCTGAGATTCTGAAAAAATTCTTTCAAATTCGGACTTAACTGGACCTAATAAAAATCAGAAAAATTCCCAGAAATCAGGCTTTGGCTCAAGCTTCATCAAAAGCTTTCGGCATTTTACAAACAAAATTAAGCTTAAATTAAGTAAAAAAAAATTATTATTTTAAATTCTGGAAAGCACGATTTTTCATCAACGGAACTGAATATGCTTAACATATTGCACACTTATTTTATAAAAATTAAGTATTAAACAGTCGAATTTTATTCAGCACTTACTATGCTCGGCAACTTTTATGGACAGGCCGTTATTATTAATTTTAAGCTAATTTCTAAGCTTAATTTTTTTGTGATTCTTTTAACAATTTTTTAAATTTATTTCTTCTTATTCTAAGGAATCAATTAACAGTTTTTTTAACAAATTTTGTTTTTTTGCTATTTTTGGTTTATTTGAAATTGGATGATATTTTTTTTTTTGGTTTTAAATATGATTTTTTTAATTGTTTAGATATTTTTTTAAATAAATTATTTAAAATTTGTAATTTTAATTTTAATAAATATTAAAATCGTTTATAAAAACAAAACTTAATAAAAAAGTCATTGAAAATTTAAAACAAAAAAAAATAAAATGTAAAAATTCAACTTTCAAAAAAAAAAATTCACTTTTTAACGCGCAATTTTATAAACTTTTAAATATAATTTCACTTCTACTAAAATTTTCAAGTCTAACAAATTTTTCACATTTTTTAACATTCATAATTTCTCAATTTATACATTTTATAAATTTAAATTTATTGAATTGAAAGACTGCAAAGCTTACAAACTAGGTTAACTTGCATCCTTTTTTTTCAAAACTTCTTTTTACTTTTACGTAACTTTTAAATTTTTTCTTAAAAGGCAATTTATTTTCCTAATTTTTAAAAAGGAAGCTTAAAAGTATTTTTTGAATGTCAATTTTTTAATATTATATTTTTTTGACTTATGCATAAGTGGACAATTTAATATTTTTTAACAAATTTTTACTTACAACCCTAAAATTGATTTTCAGGCAATTTTTTTATCTTTATAACAAAATATGAAATTTTTTTTGTTTTTATTTTTTGAAAATGGATTTTTGAGCGCATTTTTAAGAGATAAGAGCGCGATTTTTTAAATATTTCACTCTGGATTTTGACTTTTGAAGCATTTTGAAGCACCAAAGTTTCAAATTATTCACTTTTCACTTTCTTACTTGGACTATTTTGTGGATTTTGAATTTTAAAAAATTCAAAAAAATTGAATTTTAAAAAATTCAAAAAATAAAATCAAAAAATTTAAAAAGTTTGAATAATTCAAAAAATTAAATCAAAAATTTTAAAAAGTTTGAAAAATTCAAAAATAAAATCAAAAATTTTAAAAAATTTGAAAAATTCAAAAATAAAATCAAAAATTTAAAAAATTTGAAAAATTCAAAAATAAAATCAAAAAATTTAAAAAAATTTCAAAATTTCAAAAGTTAAAAATTTGAAAAATTCAAAAAAAACCCAATAAAAAATCAAAAAACCAAAAAAACTCGAAAAATTTTGAAAATTAAAAATTTCAAATCTCAAAATACTTAAAACAACAACTTCAGTGGTGTCCAACCTTTTATCAGCCACGGCACACTTTGTGTTTAAACCACGACCAAAACCGCGCACAGCATATTTTTTTTTTTGGGGATTTCATGAATATTTTTGCGGCACTCTAATGTGCCGCGGCACATGGGTTGACCATCACTGATTTAATATATTACCACCAATCAAATCCATCACATAAATCCACTTCCGACATCATTTACCAAAAAAAAACACAACAAAAATCCACAAAATTATTTTTCCGACGTCACTCATTCCATGTTCAGCCTAATCAGCCACTGACTTTAACCTTCACAGCTCATTTGTTATTTTTAGAATACACAAAAATATCAAAAAATGGACTTTTTTATAGCAATTATATTAGTAATGTAAATATAAATAAAGTTCTTCTTCACATTTTCTTTTCATATTGCTTGAGAAAGTTTCACAAAAAGTGCTCAAAAATCAGCATAAAAAAATTAGGAGAGAAAATCATCAGTAACAAAAAGTTTCGCGCATGGGCTTTTTTACAGGAGAGAGCAACAAAAAAAAAGTTCTTCAAAGTATGAGTAAAAGTTTAAAGTAAAATGTTGCATAGCAAATGCAGTAAAAGCTTTAACTGAGGCTGACTTTTCAGACTTTTTTGGTTAGATTTTAATCTTTTGTGACTTGTTGGAGGTACTCATTGGGTTTGGAGTGTCACAGCTGTGTGGAAACTCTTACTCACACAGATGTGACACTACAAACCCAATAATTACCTCCAACAAGTCACAAAAGTTTTGACTATTCATCAGGCGCGTAGTTTTGTCCCATCTTAAGCGTTTTCAGCAGCAGCGAGAGCACGGTTCAAAGGGCTTAAGGAGGGACAAGACTTTCCTGGCCCTGCAACTGCTATTCATTAAGTTTAAGCTAGTTGAAGCTACTTTAGGTGTAATATGGAGTTGTAGCTATCAATAAGATCATCTACCGGACCTTAGTCTTAGCCTGGCTGCTCTGACCATCAAAAATGAATGACAGACTCCTGATTCTAAGCTTAAACTTCGCTAGACACCTTAAATATTATTGATCTTACATGAGGGATGTATGCAGAGCCTTTATTTGATATATTATTCCAGATGTAGATTGGATCTAGCGGCATCACACAAGACATTATCCCAATTAAGTCAGTAGAACCAACGTGAAACCTTCCTAACCTCCAAACAAGTCTGAAAAGCCACCCGCAACTCAACAAATCCCACATTTTTTAACATAAAAAAAGTAAGTTTCCATAATTCAATGACACAATTCTTATCGTTCATTAATAACAGAGCAATTATCAGTCATTTTATCCATTGATCCAGTTCCACTACCATACGACAGCCGTTGCTTATCTGACTCCATAAATTCACTTTCAATTCGTTCACTTTTAAATTTAATATAAATTGAATACACGCAAACAGTCATGTAGGCTCGAACAAAGAAATCGAGTGTTGTGAGCAGTAAAAGGAGCCAATTTGCACCTTCCTTTTCAGGCTCAATGTCCAGACTCATTTCTTGTCCCTCGATATGCATCATTTGTTTCTCAGGCTTGGTGTGATGATGATGGTGCTCCTTATTTGGTGAGGTGTATTGAAAAGCGAAGAAGAGACCGCCGAAGAAGATCGAAACTGTCATTGCCGCGTGAAATATCAAGAACTGCTTTACGATTTTGTGGTTGCGCTATGAAAAAATAAGAAGAATTAAAAAAATTGAGAGAATAAAAATAATGTTTGAGAGGATGTGACAGAAAAAAAGCTGAATGAATTGAATCAGGAACTTAATGGATTGTTTGGGGGGTTAATGGACAGACGAGAACATTTTGCGGATGATGTGGAGTGGTGTGAGGAATCATGCGGCAAAAATTTTCTATGCTTTCGCTGAATTGAATGAAAATTTTTTGTGAATTTTCTTTCAAAATTTTTGTTTTTTGTTAGCATTATTATAGTGTGAAGGCACCTTAACCACAAAAACCCTTGTGTGACCACACCTGAACTCTAAAAGTCTAGTGGGAATACACCTGAACCTTGTAATTCTAGTATCAACGCACCTGAATCACAAGGTTCTGGTGTTAAGACACCTGAACCCAGAAACCATAGTGTGAACACACATGAACAACAAAACTCAAGTGCGAAGACACCTGAATCTAATAAACCTATTGTGAAGACACCCAAACCTCAAAACTTTAGTGTTAAACCTTAAAGCTCCATTGTTAAAACACCTGAACCTTAATATTCTATTGTGAAGACACCTGAACCGTAAAACTCTATTGTGAAGACTCCTTAACCTTAAAACTCTATTGTGAAGATACCTGAACATATAACTCTATTGTGAAGACACCTGATCCGTAAAATTCTATTGTGAAAGCACCTGAACCCTAAAATTCTATTGTGAAGATACCTGAACCTTAAAACTCTATTGTGAAGACACCTAAACCTTAATATTCTATTGTGAAGACACCTGAACCGTAAAACTCTGTTGTGAAGACACCTTAATCTCAAACTTGTTGTGGATTCATATTAACCTCAAAACTCTAGTGTGAAGACACCTGAACCCTAAAACACTATTATGAAGACACCTGAACCGTAAAATTCCATTGTGAAGACACCTGAACCTTAAACTCTGTTGTGAAGACACTTGAACTTTAATATTCTATTGTGAAGACAATTGAACTTTAAAACTCTGTTGTAAAGACACCTGAACCTTAATATTCTATAGTAAAGACACCTGAACCTTAAAACTCTATTGTGAAGATAACTAAACATAAAACTTTATTGTGAAGACACCTGAACTGTAATATTTCTATTGTTAGGGCACCTGAACCTCAATATCTTTTGTGAAGGCACCTGAAGCGTATAACTTTTTTGTGAAGACACCTGAATCTCAAACTTGGTGTGGATTCATATTAACCTCAAAAACTCTAGTGTGAAGACACCTTATGTTTTAAAAACTCCAACGACAATAACAATTTCCATCAATTATCTCATAATCCGCTAGATTATAACCCTCTATCATCCATTTATTATCAGAATGATCTCATTTCCGCAGTTCTGTCAAAATATTCTAAAAATTTCCACCCCAATAATTTTATTTTCATTTCCCTTTGTGTCTACAACTTTGTTATTTTTTCCAATATCCCCTTTTTTATTCTTTTCACAATTTGTCATTTATCATTCTTTGCATCCTCACTCTACAATCCCCGACTGCTTTGCCATTTCTGATACATCGTCGTTGTAAATATTGTTGAAGGCATTAAACATGCAAAGTAAGGCAATAAATTTATTTCATTTTGTGCTGTGTCTATTGTACGTCTCGCACATTATTCATGACAAATAAAAAGTTTTTCTAGATGATTTTATTAGTTTTGTCTATTTATTGGGGTAAATGTGGGGTTCGAGGACATGTAGGGTATCTTTTTGGATTGAGTTGTATCAAAAGTCGTTCGTTGCTAACTCCTTAGTACACATTTGCCTGAACTTGGTCAAAAATCGCACGGAACACACCACTATGGACACTTTTTACTCATTTTGGTCAAAAGTCGCACGGAACATACGACTTAATACACATTTGATTGAGCTTGGTCAAAAGTCGTACGGAACACACCACTATGGACATATTTTTAACCATGATGCTTAGGTATCATAGGTCTCAAGCCAAATATTTGCCAAAAGTCGCACGCTACACACCACTTTGAGCCACAAACCCCTAAAATCACCTTCAAAAATCCGTAAAATTTCCTCCAACCCCCACCCAAACCAGCTTAAAGCTGTTCCTTATGTTCGATGAAGTTTAACGATAAACAAAAAAATAAATAAATCAAGAAGATGAGAAACAAGACGTGAAAGAAATGAGCGAGCAGGCAACAAAAAGAAAGAAACTAATAAAAGGAAAATTTTCGCAAAAATTACGTAAGGCACGAGAAAGAGTAAAGAACATCCAACAAAACTTACCTCAAGGACACCAACGGTAAGAACCATCGAACCAAAAATATAATAAATAAAGAAATTCACACAAGTCGCGACCATCAAGATTTGAAACTTCTGAAATCCCGTCATACTATCATTCAGCACATCAAAACTATTCAGGACCATCATAAGGACGGTAATATATGCAATATTAAGCACTGAGCAATACCAACTCGTTAACCGTCCGCCTGTCTCCAGCGAGAAAATCCAGAAAAACTTTTGAATTAAAATCATTTTGAGATGGAACTTAAAGAACTAGTTATATCCACTATGTAAGTTTCAGGTTCAGAGAGGAAGTCAGTCGAGACAGGAACAGCAACAACAAGAAACTTAAAATAAAAGATTGAATTTTTTTTTTCACGCAGCGATCCGAACTGTGAAAATGTTGAAATGAAACTGAGCGAGAGTTGGATGTGCTACACACAGATTGCAGTCGATACCACACACAGCATTGTGACGATTTCCTCTTTTTTCATTTCAGTATTAAAGTCATGCTTGAAAATGTGCCAAGGTTGCTCTATTTACTCAATTTCAATGACTTTTACTCTCTTTTTTTCGGGGATGGTTTTGGGGATTTATTTACTGTGTCGTGTTCTGATTGCAGTTTGGATACTTTGTGGGAATTGAAGTTCATTTTAACATTTTTGTTGGTCTTGAGAGTTTTTGAAGGGTGTAATTAAGGCTGAAGAGGTGTTATGAAGGTTTGGATTGGATTTTGAGGTTTAGTTTCTGAATTTTGAGGTTAAGGAACTAGTTTTCGAGGTTAAGTTGCTAATTTTGAGGTTAAGTAGCTTCCTTTGAGGTTGAGTGGCTAATTTTGAAGTTAAGTAGCTAGATTTTGAGGTTAAGTTGCTAGATTTTGAAGTTAAGTAGGTTGTTTTTTGAGGTTAAGTAGGTTGTTTTTTGAGGTTAAGTAGGTTGTTTTTTGAGGTTAAGTAGGTTGTTTTTGAGGTTAAGTAGCTAGATTTTGAGGTTAAGTAGCTAGTTTTTAAGGTTAAGTAACTAGTTTTAGAGGTTAAGCTGCTAATTTTGAGGTTAAATAGCTTACTTTGAGGTTAAGTAGCTAATTTTGAGATTAAATATTTATTGTTGAGGTTAAGTAGCTAGCTTTTGAGGTTAAGTAGCTAGTTTTTGAGGTTAAGGAGCTAGTTTTTTAGGTTTAGTAGCTAGTTTTCGAGGTTCAGCTGCTAATTTTGAGGCTAAATAGCTTACTTTGAGGTTAAGTAGCTAATTTTGAGATTAAATATCTATTGTTGAGGTTAAGTAGCTAGCTTTTGAGGTTAAGTAGCTAATTTTGAGGTTAAGTAGCTAGCTTTTACAAGCAAGCAAGATTAACACTTTAACTACTATATAAATATCATGCTCTCTATTTGGGGTTAAACATTAATGTTTTCCTCAAATTATGACGCACAAGAGCATTAGAAAGAGCTTTTAAAGTAGCTTATGTCAAATTTAATAAACAAAGCTTTTCTCAAGCTTTCGTGCTAAAAACCTAAACATGACTCCATATAGAATCTCAAAACTGTACCTAACCTCAAAGCTTGACACACAACGCCTCAATTCAACACACACACACAAGTTATTAATATTTTAAATTACAGCCCTCAATTCAATCCCATTTTATCCATTAAAATCACAACATTCATGCAAAAGGAAAATCCTTACAAATTCATATTCCTTACACCACATTTGGCATTGAACAGTTGCATGCGACGATTCATACAGAAAAATCGATTCCTTTTGCACGTGATTTTCTGTGAAACTTTTCTTCTTTTGTATTAATTGAGAGAAAATTTAAAATGAAAAGAGAGAAAAAGCTCATGAAAATTGATGACAAGAGAGTCAGGCGAGGTTGATGATTATTTTGAGCTCTTGCCAACTTGTTGAATGTACTCATGGGCCACGTGGTTTTATTTCTTTGTTGCTGTACGTGAACTTGAAGAGAAAACGAATTTTTTTGCCATGGCAATTTGATTTGCATAATTGTTGGTCTGTAAAGTGATGCAATAATAATTTCATAGACAAATTTTTAAGGTTTTATTAACAACATACACTTTTTGAGGTTATATTAAGCCCTAAAAAGCCTCCTTATGTGACTAAAGCCTTCTTTGGCTTAACATTAATTTTTTTAACTTTAACCTTCGAAGTTTTAGACTTTTTTCTTATTTTATTAAGACAATTTCTAATAAATTTCATCACTGATCCCACAGTGAGGTGTTGTACACAGCCATGATGAAAAATTTCCAAAATAAATAAAACAGTCGAAATTCCTAAAGCAACTGTGAGCATTCTAAACAATCGAAAAAGTTCTTTATAACGCAAACTGCTCATAATTTGAGATGATCTGTTCATCCTAAATCCCGACTCATCAAGATCCTCAAAAACTTTCCACATGTTAGGCAATCCAGCTTGAAATGATAAGTCCATGTAAAATTGAAGTCTTTCAAGAAATGGATTTAAGTAGCTTGCCTCGAGTCCAACATAGTCCCATGAGATGATCTCTGGTAGCTTGTAGTAATATTCAGAGAGATGCTGTCCTTTAGATAGTTTCAATTTAAGACTGTTATCTACAAAGTCACATGCAGTGATGAAGACAAAGTGCTGTTGAATAACCTGTAACTCAAATGTGTCTAGATTGTAAATGTCAAGCTTGCTTATCCTTGATTTAATACCCTGAAAATTGAATACAGAGAATGTTTTACTAAGTTGCAATAATCAACACAAGATTTTATAGTTTCACACCCCTTGCAAATATTGTGCATAGTTGCACTCCCTTTAATCCAGATTCAGTGGAGTTTCACACCCCTTTCAATGTGCATAGTTGCACTCCCTTTAATCCAGATTCAGTAGTGTTTCACACCCCCTACAAATATTGTGCATAGTTGCACTCCCTTTAGTCCAGATTCAGTGGAGTTTCACACCCCTCACAAAAATTTGCATTGTTTTATGCCCCGAAAAATGCATTATTTTAAAAAACAAAATTTCGTAGTTTTGCACCCCTTTAACAAATTTTCGTAGTTTAACACCCCTTTGACCGAAAACAGCATAGTTTTTCACCCCTTGAACTTAAAAAACATAGTTTCGCACCCTTTATACTAAAAATATTACCATCAATTGCTCATTATCCCGCATAACGAACTCAAATACATCCTCAGTAGCTATCATATACTTAGAGTTTATAAGATCCTCAACAGTTTGCAAACGATTTGTAAGAATTGGTTCAATCATTGTCGAAGTGATGGCACTTTCGTACGCAATACTTAAAAAGAGTACAGAATATAGAGTCAATTGAAGCAAAACTAGCAATATAAAGTGATTATTTTGGGAGAAATTAGTTCCAAGTTGGAGGAACATTTGAAGAATTCCTGAGAAAAACTTCCAGTGAGAGTCGACAGCGCCATGATTTTGATACATTCTCCAAACAACAGTTGAGCTGATTATTGATACAGCTAAGAACATCCATGTGAATACGTCGAATGGCATAAAAAGAAAGATGCGAAATATTTTGATTTTTGGAACTGGAACTAAGGCACAATAACCTTTCTTCTCATAAGTAATTAATTTAGGTTCAACATTATCAAATACAGCGGCTGTGTTGAGAGTCAAATGCATTTGTCGAGTCTGCCATAACTTATGAAAATTATGACTATTGGGGATTAGCATGAGCTTCAAAGTTGCATTCTGTATTGTGGTGACAGCTTTCAAAAAATGAAGCATTGGTGCACTTGAAATTCCATGACTAACACTAACAATTGGTGGCTGGTCATGAATTGGGATGATGTAGCGATATCCAGACATGTCCTTCAACTTGTCAGCAAATAATGTCAAGCTATCAATTGGATTAACTTTTACCCTAACTTTTCCATTTAATGACTCAACAACGTCAACATAAATATCAGAATTTGGACCTTCATTGATCGTAACAACGTTCAAAAAGCCAAAGTTTGTAAATGCTTGCAATATTGCAACTCGATTCTGAAAATTCGAAGATTTAGGTACGATGCTGATGATTTTCGCCATATGATGCCAAACAGTTGATAAATGCTGGTTTATGATGAGCTGTCTTACTAAATTCTTTAATTAAAAAAAATATATATTTTGATAATTTAGATTTAAAAAACGTAATATAACTAGTTATGAGCTAATCGAATGAAGCTCGACCCAAGATGATCAAATGTAGCTCGACCCAAGATGATCGAATGAAGCCTGACCCAAGATGATCAAATGAAGCCTGACCCAAGATAATCGAATGTAGCTCGATCCAAGATGATCAAATGAAGCCTGACCCAAGATAATCGAATGTAGCTCGGCCCAAGATGATCGAATGTAGCTCGACCCAAGATGATCGAATGAAGCCTGATCCAAGATGATCAAATGTTGCTTGACCCAAGATGATAAAATAAAGCACGACCCAAGATGATCAAATGAAGCTCGACCCAAGATAATAAAGTGAATCTTAACATGTGTACCTAAAGAAAACCACACAGCTTTACTTACCCTATCAGGATGTCTCAAAATTAAAACAATTATTGCAGCCTTTCTGAGTTTTGTTTGAGTTTCTCTTGTCTTTAAATCGCTAATAATGACAACACTTCTATCGTCAATGCACTTAATAATGTCACCAACTTCTTGTGATTTTACTGTCCCATTTAAGTTGCTGATAAGAACGTCCTGAATGTCATTGGATATCTTTGTTTCACTATTTATGATTTTACACACATTTTTTTGTAAGTTTTGTTCGATTGTTGTTAATTTTTGGAGAAATTTTGGATGCTGTGCTGCATTTAAGAATAAAGATGTCGAAAAAGAAAGAAATAATATTGTAAACTTCATATTTTTATCAGAGCTGCTCTTTTATGCTGCACACAAACTTTATGAAATATTGTTTTGCTAAAAATCAAGTCAGCTAGTGAATGCTTTCATTTAGATTCGACACAAATCGATGATACGACATTTTATTGAGCTTAATTACAGCATAGAACGACAACATAGTGCCTCAGTTTACATTCGTGGACGGACATAATTTCTGCGAACATTTAACTTTGACTTTATGTATTTCCAGCATAATTTAGAAACATGACGGCTTCTTGATTCCCAAAAGGTCTGTCCATTTAACCGATTAAAGCATTTGTGATGAAAAATTTCAAGAATAAACGCCAAAATTGATGCACTAAGTCCAAAAATGAGAATTTTAAAGACTTCATAAAGATCCTCAAAATTTAAGCTGTCGATAGTTTGTGGTGGAATTGTTGCTGCCGTTCTGGATAAATCTAAACGTTCGATAATTTTCCACATTTGTGGAAGTCCAGCTTCAAATGACAAGTCCATAAAATATTGAAACTTTTCAACAAACGGATTCAAATAACTAGCTTCAAGTCTTACATATTCCCATGAAATGATTTCAGGCAGAATGTAATGAGAGTCAGCAATCAGCTGCTCATTTTCAAATTTATAATTCAGTACATTTTCAAGCATGTCACAAAGATTGATGATTACAAAGTGCTTTTGCATTATTTCATCAACATAATTGTTGGATAAATGAAGGTCCGTCTTTTTAATCATTGTTCTTAATCTTTCAAATCCATCATTATTTTTCAACATAAAATCAAATCCTTCGTCTACAGCAATTTCATATTCCGATGCTAATAAGTCATTAACCGTATGTAATCGATTGTCATCTAATGATTCAATAGTTTTGGATGTGATTTCACTTTGGTACGCGTTACTGATTATAAAGATGAAGAAGCAAAGCAGCTGCATCAGAGTCAATAGCATAAAATGATTGTTCCTTGATAATGTGAAGCCTTGACCCAAAAACATTTTATAGATCTCAGCTAGGAGGAGCCAATGCGAGTCAACAGCACCACGACCACGATACATCCACCAAACAAACACGGAACTGGCAATTGAGAGTACTAAGGATGTCCAAATGAAAATATCGAAGGGCGTGACGATGAGGAACCGAAAAGATGATCTTCTTGGAGGTTTTGGAATCAAAGCACAATTGCCTTGAATCTCATAATTCAGCAACTTTGGCTCTTGATTGTTAAAGACAACAGCAGTGTTGAGTGTCAAGTGAATTTGCCGAGTGTCCCATAATTTCTTAAAATACGTAACGCTTGGAAAAATGTTTAGTTCCAGCCGTAGATTCATTTTTGCACCAATAATGTATAAGAAATGAAGCATCGGTGATCTAACGACATTATTTTGAATTTTCACAAGCGGTTCTTGGTGAAATATTGGAATTTGTAGAGGATATCCTTTCGCATCTTTAAGCTTGTCAGGAAAAATCTTGGAACTGTCTTCTGGATCCAAATATACATAACCATTACCTTTCAATGATTGAATAAATTCATATTGGACATTATTATTACGATTCCGGTGAACGACTGCAACATTAAGAAATCCAAAATTCAGAAATACTCCAAGAAATGTAATTCGCTGTTGTTGAGTCGTGTGACTGGAGACGATGCAGATGATTTTTGCCATATGATTCCAAACCTTTTTGAAGATGTTGCCCATTATTAGGTTTCTTGCTTCATTCTGTTTAAATATTGTTTTTAAAAAAAGTTATGAATTGCTAAACTTAAATTGACCCGAGATGACCAAACCTAGCTCGACCCGAGATGATCAAACTAAGCTTGACCTGAGATGACCAAATTAAGCTTGACATAAGATGACCGAACTTAGCTCAATCTGAGATGACCAAACCTAGCTCGACCCGATATGACCAAACCTAGCTCGGCCCGAGATGAAAGAATTAAGCTCGACCCAAGATGACCGAACTTAGCTCAATCTGAGATGACGAAACCAAGCTCGACCCGAGATGACCAAACCTAGCTCAACCCGAGATGATAGAATTAAGCTCGACCCAAGATGACTGAACTTAGCTCAATCTGAGATGACCAAACCAAGCTATACCCGAGATGACCAAACCTAGCTTGACCCGAGATGATAGAATTAAGCTCGACCCAAGATGACCGAACTTAGCTCAATCTGAGATGACCGAACTTAGCTCAATCTGAGATGACCAAACCTAGCTCGACCCAAGATGACCAAACTCTATACGAATCATATAAGTATAACTCTTTACTTACCCTATCAACCTGATCAAACTCTAACATCATCAGTGCTGCATTTTTTAATCTTGCATCTTTAATTGAAGTCTTAAAATTTGAAACTATGACTACATTTTCATCATCAAGACAACGAATGATGTCGTCAATCAATAGAGACTGCACATATTCACCAACACTCCCAATAAGGATGTCAGTTGCTCCTTCTTTCAGATTTGTGTTGCTATTTGCAACGATGCAAATTGATTCTGATATTTTCTGGTTATCAGATTGACTTTTGGTTAAATTAGGAAAGCAGAATAAAGCAAGAATTAAGAATGCCTTCATGTTTTAAGTTGAATTCACGATGTTAGCTAGTTGATGAACTTTAAAGCACTGTTCATAGGAATTTTAAAAACTCAACTTTAAGTGCTCTACAATTTAGATTGTTGGAATTGATTGCATTCAATGTTGCATTAACAATGAATTCAGGCGATGGTTCAAGGGCTATCAAAAGTGACTTGGTCACAGCAAACTTCCCCTACTCATACCTGCCTGTATACAAGATTAATAAGATAAAACACAATTTTTATTGAATTTTCATTTTATTTTAATGAGCAATTGCTATAGCAATAAAAGCTTGCAATTTTAACAATTTTTATTAAATTATTAAATTCTATTAATTCGATCCAAAACTAGTTCTGCATGATGAAGTCCTTAATTCCTTGTTTATTCCTCTTTTGTGTTCAAAAATGGTGCGATTGAAGCTAAAAAAATCAAAAATTATAAAAAATTAAAAAAGTCCAAAAAAGTCACTAACCCAAATCCTCACAATCAGGAATAACTTTGCCTTTAAACTTGACACATGATTCAGCACAAAGTTGACCTTCAAAGAATCCACCAAACATTTTCTTACACTGAGCACAGTTCTTTAAGCAAATGCCAACAATGTCATATCCACCAAAGAGATCCAAGCTTGGATATGGACTAGCTGATGAATTATCAATGAGGAAGGCAGCAGCGATGATGAAAGTGATGAAAATAAGCAACTTTGGTGATGACATGATGGAAATTGATGAATTTTTTTGTAAGTTTATTGAAGGATGTATGAAATGGAACTGATGAATTGTCAATGAATTTTGTGGGTTTTTATAGGGAAAAAAATTCTATTTGTACAAAAATCCATTTCCGGTGTTAATTTGATAATGAATGCATTAAAGGACAACTGTGGAGTTAGAGACATGGACAGTGTTGAGGATGAGCTTGCTGTGCTGATGCAAATTGAGGAAAAATCTTTTTTTTTGCATTTATTCAAAGTTCAATTCAACAACATTTCAAAAAAAAAATCAATAAAAAATTTTTAAAAGCACAAACGACCTTCAGGTAGGGGAAAGGCTGCAAACTACGCATTAAATAAATAGACAATTGTATCAAATTTCTAGTTTTACGTCCACAATAATGACATTGAATAAAATTCACATCTAAAAATATTTTTCATTGACCATCGACAAGATTTAATGTAAGTTTCTAGGTTGGACATTAATCCTGCGAACTTTTAGCTTTTGCTGCTTAATTCTTTCAAGAACTCTTCGAACTCTTAATCTCATCTGCTCCAGAATAGCACGTCCATTGATATTTACTAGACAGTCATTATAGAAAATCTCAAATAAAAACGTAAAAGCTGAAGCTGCCAATCCAATTCCAAGAACCTTAAAGATTTCATGAAGATCCTCAAATCGTAAACTGTCTAATGTATCTGACTTTTCAGTCTTTGAAGTCCTCAGTTGATCAAGATTCTCAAAAACTTTCCACATATGTGGCAATCCAGCTTGAAATGACAAATCCATAAAGTATTGAAGCCTTTCAATAAATGGATTCAAGTAGCTTGCTTCCAGCCTCACAAATTCACTTAAGAACTTCTCGGGGAGCATGTAGTAATAATCAGATACAGCAGTTTCATTTTCATATTTGCTTTCAAAAATGTTTTGAGCAATGTCGCAAAATGTGACGAATGCAAAGCTTTGATTGCTGACTTTATCCTTAACTTCCTCTGGTGATCGAAAGTCAATGACTGTTATTCTTGATTTGACTGCCTGAAACTGTTCGTTTTCCTTTACAATGAAAGCAAATCCTGCGTCGGTTAAGATTTCATAATCAGAAGCCAGAAGATCATTCAGAGTTTCTAGTCGATTCTCATGGTAAGGTTCAATCATGCAGGACGTGATTTCACTTTCGTATGCATTGCCAATAACGAATATCAACCAGCAGATCAGTTGCATCAATGTCAAGAGCATGAAGTGATTATTCCTTGACAATGTGAAGCCTTGACGAAAGAACATCTTGTAGATCTCAGCAAGAAGCAGCCAATGAGAGTCAACAGCACCACGACCACGGTAGAGCCACCAAACAGCAAAGGAACCAGCTATTGAAAGGACCAAAGGAACCCAAATGAGATAGTCAAATGGCATGATAATCATGATCCGGAATGTCAAGGTTTTCTGAGGAAGAGGAACGACGGCACAAAAACTTTTAGTCTCGTAATTTATCAGCTTTGGCTGTGAATTGGCAGAAACAGCAGCTGTATTAAGTGTCAAGTGCATTTGCCGTCGCTGCCAAAATTGATCAAAATACAATCCATCAGGAACAACATTCAGCTCCAGACGAGCTTTTTGAATTTTCACAACTGCCCTCAAAAAATGAAGCATTGGAGCAGTTACTGTAAAATTTCGAACATTTACTATTGGTGGCTGATCGTGTACAGGAATGACGTAATAAAATCCATTCAAGTCCTTTAAAATGTCGGGAAATAAGCTCAAACTATCGCTTGGATTGATGTCGATCCTAGTTTTACCAGTAATTGATTCTAGAACATCGACATTAATGTCTACATGTTCATCCTCATGGACAGTTATGACATTCAAGAAGCCAAAATTTGTGAATACTTGCAAAATTGAAACTCGAGTACGATAAGATGTTGATGTAGGTACGATGCAGATAATCTTTGCCATATGGTGCCAAACTGATGAAAAATGTTGAGTCATGATGAGCTGTCGGATCAAGTTCTAAAAGAAAATAGTGGGAGATTTTTAAAAGGACGAACAAGCTTTACTTCTTATTAGTCTTATTTAACTCAGTTCGAGATGACCGAACTTAGCTCAACCCGAGATGACCGAACTTAGCTCGACCCAAGATGATAGAACTAAGCGCGACCCAAGAAGACCGAACTTTACTCGACCCGAGATGACCGAATGTAGTTTGGTTCGAGATGACCGAACTTGGCTCGACCCGAGATGACCAAACCTAGCTTGACCCGTGATGACCGATCCTTGTTTTTCATTTTTAGAACTTAATTTTGCCAAACTAGATTGCCTTAACTTCTATAATCTTAATTACCACTCAACATAACTTTATACATACCACATTAGGCTGCTGCATCACCAAAACAATTACAGCTGCCTTCTTGAGCTTTGTTTCCTTATAAACAGCATTTAAATCAGTAATCACGACAGCTTTGTCATCATCAATACACTCAGCAATTGCATTAAACTCTTGCAATCAGATTTTACTACCCACAAATCCAATAAGGATGTCCTGAGTGTCATTTATAGGTTTTGTAATATCATTGATGATTTTGCATGTCGATTTTGATAAATTATTGTTGATATTTGGTCAAATTTGGACATTTAATGAAGCACAGTAAAGCAAAACAGATGAAAAAGTGAGAAAAAGTATTGCGAACTTCATTTTTACACTAAGTTGGTGTTTTAATGTCAGCAGAAACTTAATGAATAAGGTACAAAAATTATTGAACAAATTATTGATTAATTTTAATGCATTTTGCGGAATAAAATCGTTGTTTTTCAAATCCAGTAAAAGCAAATTTATGACTTCGAATGTTTAACCTTGCGTGACTAGTGACGCTATTGATGTTTTTTTAATCAGATTTTAAATGTTTTTAAAAAATATGATTTGACATGTTTATGCACTAAGTTCTTTTTTGATTGTGTAATTTAACTAGCTTGCAGTAGTTTAAACAGCAGTTTCTGGAAAAATGAAGCTGGAAATCCAGAAATATTTGAAAATTTCATCAATTCATGGACTTGTCTATACTGTAAAGCATTTTCACTCTATTGAGAGGTAGACTTAGCACGTAAAATAGTCAACATAACCTCAAAATCTAATTTTTTTAGAATTTTCTGGTCAATAACTTTAACATCCGCAATAATTTGCACTTTGGCTTTTATCATCAAATTGGAGATTAATATGAACAAGGTTCCAATTGTTGCTTACTTGTCGGACACGCCAGTGTCTGTTTCTGAGGTAAATTTGGTCCACGCTTAGCCATTCTTGCCATAGTAATAAAAATTACATTTTAGATTCACTTTCCAGCAGTTACTTTCTGTCCTGATTTTCTTCCAAGTTTACCAAGCAAAGCAACAAAGCTTTTTGAGACTAAAAAGGATTTTCGTTATGAGAAGCATACAGCTAAGAAGTATTATTATGAAGATGATGAGTTCTTGCAAGAGACAGTTGATGAGAGGAGCTTCAACTTAAGTTATATTAAGATTTTGAATAAAATTGACACTGGTGAGATTCAAATTGAGGACTTGGGATCAAAAATGTAAGTTTTTTGAGGTTAGAATCTTTAAACCCGAATGGCACAAGTCAGTTAATTGATCAGAAATGCAGCATCAAGCCGGTGTGACTCTGGCATGGTGCTGGATATAAATCAAAGCCAGCACTATTCCAGAGTCATATTTGGCGCCGGATTTATATTCGATTAACCGACTTGTGCTATTCGGGTTACTTTGAGGTTAGAACTCAAATTTTCTTAATTTTATAGTCTAAAGCGCCTTCAAGTTGTGGACACAATCCTCAATCTTGGTGTGATTGCAAAGACTAACTTAAAATTCCCACAAGATGACTTCCTTGATGTCCTTAATGAGTTTAATAAAGCCATTATTGAAAAAAATACACAATTGATTGTTAGATTTCGTCATGAGGCTGACATATTCATATCGGAAGTATTAACACCTTTAGGTCTTTGCTATTCATTCAACCAAGCACCAGCACATGATGTAACGAACTTGAATTTAACAACAGATTATTTTCATTATGAAATATTCATGACAAGACCAAGAAATGTTCGTGAAATACCAGAAATCCCAAGAAACGATACGTCTCTTCCAAATGGATTAGCTTTAATATGGCAATATAGTTATGTTGATGCTTATCCAAAGGAACGACCTGGACATTATCTATATCTACATGATCCATACGAGCTGCCTTCAACAAGTTCTAAGAATATAATGGTTAATAGGAATCGAGATGGATACATTAAAATTGTTCCTCAAATACATCAGATTGACGATTCTATTGCTGATTATGACTCTGTTGAGTAAGTTTAAACTGAACTCATCCTCAATACTGAACTTATCCTTGAAACTGAACTTATTTTAAAACTAAATTCATTCCGAAAAACATTCTCACGTTAGTGAACTATGTCAAGACTGAACTTAACCTCAAAACTAAACTTATCCTCGAAACTGAACTTATTCTCAAACTAAACTAATTCTGAGAAAGTGAACAAATTCTCACGAAATTGAACTATCTCAAAAACTGATCTTATTCTTAAAACTAAACGTATCCTCATACTAAACTTATCCCCCAAATTTTCTGTTATTCCTCAATATCTAGTCGCAATTGCTACCAAGAAACTGAAAAGATACTGAAATTCTTCAAAAAATACACAAAAGTCAACTGCATCCAAGAATGCTTGACTAATTTTATGGTTAACCGATGCAACTGCGTCGAGTTCTTCATGATCAGAAATTCAACAACTCGAATTTGTTCAGCAAATGAGAAAAATTGCATAGAAAATGCCAAAAATGATTTTGAAGCTCAACAGCAGTCTTGTGGATGTCTGCAGCCGTGCAATTATGTCAATTATGAGTTTGAGTCAATTGAGAAAAATATTTTGCCGTATGTAAATTAATGGAGTTCTGATTTATATCTGAATGATTTTTTTTTCTGCCTTAAAGCCAAAACTTGTCGTATCCATTTTTTGTTGCCCAATTTGAATTTGATAAGGAAATGTATAATC